ATTGTTTTGTAGGTTAAGTTACTGTTGGGAAAGAAAATAAAGATATTAAAAGAAGGCAGAAATAATGAGTCAATCAACAACACTAAAGAAAAAGGGTTCGAATCCGAAGAAAGCTCAAAGCCATTGAAGAATCTGAACTTTGATATGCAATATCGATCAAGTACTGAATTGGCTAACCAGTTCAAGATTATGAGAGAACAACTTTCTAACGAACGCAATGATAAAGCTAAGAAAGAGCATGTACCAATAGTGATAAAAGAAAGAATTCTGAGGATTTAATTCTACAAACTAAGAAGAGATTATTTCAATCTGGAGAGTCCATTCAAGAGAAAAGAATTAAACTTCCTATGCAAAACTTTAGGTTCCAAATGTCTTCAAAGCAAGGTGTTACTGATTCAGTTTATGTGACTGGGGAAACATTTGGTAATTCAGAGGTACAACATGGTATTCAAGATCAATTAAACTTCAAACAGGTGAAGAGGAAGTTTGTCATACCGGCCACAAGTCTTGATCAGTTTCTAGCAGAACAATAGTTACAGAGAGAACATGATATTAATGATCTACCAAACTGCAAGCAGGTAAAGAGGAAGTCGATCATAGGTGATGAAACAAAAACAGATAACCACACAGTAGCTGATGATCTTGTGGATCAAGAAGAAATCAATAGGGATGAGTGTGCTATAGAAGAGGAAATTGGCATTGATTGTAGTACGAAAGGTATGTCTCAAGCGTTATAAGATTTATTACTTATATAAATGACATTTCTTATTTACTTACTGTTACATAAATCAAGAAATATTGGAGGCGAAAAAAGTCCGAGGAAAAACAACATGTAAGGATATTCACGCAAGAAATTTGGAAGAAAGAAAGGAGGTGACATTTGATAAAGGGAAAGCAGTGGGACCAACTGGTAAGATAGTGTTCGAATTCACCAACTTTATAGGAACAATTTCAAGGAATCCGAGGTTCATCAACTTGATGTACACTAGTTGGGATGCGGTGCCAGAAGATACTAAAAAGTGCATGTGGGAATATATCAATGTAAGAACAATTAATTTTTAAATTGCATATTTATTCTTTGTTTTTATAGATTGAAGCTAACTATATTTTATTTTACATAGTCCAAATTCATAATTCCAATAGAAGGAAAAGCGTGGGTGATGACCGGCTTTCGTGATGCTTGGAAGCGATACAAGCAAAAAATTAAAGAGAGATTTTTTGATAAAAATAGTACCATGAGGACATGCTAGCAAAACGTCCCAGTGACATTGCAGAAGATGAATTCCGTCAATTGATCGAGTATTGGAAAGACCCAACTGTTCAAGTAAGGCTAAAATACTACATTTCTATTGTTCAACTTATTTTGGATTATATCGATTCTATTTTTGTTTTATTTATTAATTCAAACATATCTTTTTATATAATTATAGGCCATGTGTGAGATGAATTCTCAAAATAGGAAAAAGCAAAAATGGAGGCATCGAATGGGACCTATTAGTTTTGCAAGAGTACGCGTGGCATTGGTAATACTTAGCATCTTCGGCCATATACATTTAATCCATTTGTATTCCTCCAATATATTGATAAGTTTTTAAATATCTTTTTATATAATTTGTAGCGTGCAACCAAAGAAAACAATGAGGAACCATCAAAGTCTGAAATGTTTATTGCAACTCGTACAAAACGGGAAAGGAACTTCAGGCCGATACTCAAATTGCAATAGTAAGTTTTTTAAAGTGTATTAATGATGAATTTAATTCAGGTTTAAAATTTTTTACATTGTTTAAAGGGTGATAATTTATTTTAATATGCTTGAAGGGATGTCAATTGAAGTTACTTAATGAACCATAAACTCATTTAAGCTAGAGAGAAATAAGAAGTACTTGAATATAATATGAAAGTCAATTTTATTCAATAGGCTGAACTTCAGAATCGCCAAAATTTCGGGGAAACTGCAGATGATGCTTTTACGGCAGTGTTTGGTAGAGAGCAGCCTGGTCGACTTAGGTGCTATGGTAGATCAGTGACAACAAGTTCATTGAAGAAAGATGAGGAAGATAGCAAGCTAAAACAAAAACATGCTAATGAAATCACTTATCTGAAAGAAGAAACGAATGAAATGAGAGAGGAAATAAGAGAAGAAATGAGAGAAGAAATGCGAAATTTTTTTAGTCAATTGCTTCAAAACAACCCTGGATTGAATGTTCGAGGTATGCAAGGGGGTGTTGTATCTAACATTGCTTCACCTATTGATGCGGGTAGTGCACAAGCTGTAAAAGGCCAAAATCCTCTACAATCTTTCGGGTCAACTCATGATCCGATTCTTCAAAAGGTATTTAGTACTTTTTCAAATTAGTCCTCTCAGTTTCTCAGAAAGTCTTCTTGTTTGTAATTGTTATTGATTAACTTCATGTTTGAA